ATCATATAGGCCTTTGGCCTGACTCGACCATGCACAACAAGTTTCCTGAACTAAACTAGTCCCATTTGCCTGTGTTTGGCCCATATCCCTTGAAATCCTTCCTATTCATGTACCTGTCTAAATATCTTTAAATGCTGTAATTGTACTCGCCTCTATCACCTTCTCTGGCAGCTCATTCCATATATGCACCGTTCTCTGTGTGAAAACATTGCCCCTCAGGTATTTTATAAATCTTTCCCCTCTCACCTTAAACCTATACCCTCTCGTTTTGGACCCTCACTACCCTGAAGAAAGGACCTTGGTTGTTCACCCTATCTATGCCTCTCATGAATTTATAAACCTCCATATAGTCACCCCTCAGCCTCCTATGATCCAAGAAAATAAGCCCCAGCCAGTCCGGCCTTTCCTTTTAACTCAAACCTTCCAGTCTCGGTAACATCCTTGTAAATCTTTTTTGTACCCCTTCCAGTTTAATAATATCCTTCCTATAGCAGGGAGACCAGAGCTGTACGCAGTACTCCAAATGCAGCCTCACCAATGTCATATACATCTGCAATATGACATCCCAACTCCTATTTTAGGGCAGTACTGAAGGTGCTGCTCTGTCTGAAGTGCTATCTTTTGGCAGAGATGTTAAAACAGGACTCTGTCCCTCTCTCAGATGGATATAAATGATCCCATGGGAGTATTCAAAGGACAGATGAGATATCTCCATAGGTCAATTTCATCTCTTGAGGAATTAGAAAGGTTATCTTGTCACAGGTATTGCTCAGTGGTTAGCACTGCTGTCTCACAGAACCAGGGACCTGGCTTCAATTCCACCCTCGGGCGACTGTCGGTGTGGAGTTTGCACATTCTGCCCGTGTCTGCGTGGGTTTGCTCTGATTTCCTCCTGCAGCCCAATGATATGTAGGTTGGGTGGATTGGCCAAGCTAAATTGCCCATAGTGTCCAGGGATGTGCAGGCTAGCTGAGTTAGCCATGGGAAATGCAGGGTTACAGGGACAGGGCAGGGGCTGTGTCTGGATGAGATGCTCTTCAGAGGGTTGGTGTGAACTTGATGGGCTGAATGGCCTGCTTCCATGCTACAGGGATTCTATGTTTATCTCAGTGCAGTTCATGAGATTTTGCTCTGCTCTATTTGGCACATTATATCCCAACATTACAGTAGTGATTGAATTTGACTGGTTGTACAAGGCTTTGGACATCTTGGGGTTAACATTGAACATAGAACTATACAGAGCAGGAACGGGCCCTTCAGCCCACAATGTTGTGCTGAATATGACCCAAAATCAAACTAATTCCTTCTGCCTGCCATTGGTCCACATCCCTCCATTCCTTGCATATCTGCTGGTTGTGACAAATGCTATAGAAGTACAAATTCCTCCCTTCAAATTGAAACTCCATTTACATTGGCAACTTACCCTCTAATGGCTTTTCCATTTCGGACATGTTTGGATTTTTCCTAATTCACGTGCAGGATCTGGGCATCGCTGGCTGGGTCAGTATTGATTGCCCACACCACAGTTGCAGGCTCTGGTGAGCTGCCTTCTCAAACTGCTGCATCCTGCTGTTTATTCACTCAATGCTAATTCAGCAAGCATCAATCACCTGTTATGGAACAGACTAAACTCCCTCAAAACATTCAGAAGATAGTGTAGACCCTAAACTTTCCTTATTTTAAAGGTAAATGCAAGGTGTTGCGTTCCAGATGGTCAAACTGCTGGATTTTAAGGCAAAACATACTTCAGTCATCCACTAAAGTTAAAAAACAACAACAGAAGGAAGGTGAGTGACTTCCATCTTTCCTCTTATTGACGGGGACTCCCTTAGAGCCAGGGGCTCGGATGGAGAGCAATTTGTTAGATGCGTCCAGGAGGGCTTTTTGAGATAGTATGTTGACAATCCAACCAGAGAGGAGGCAATATTAGGCTTGGTATTAGGGAATGAGCCAGGGCAGGGTGATCAATGTTTCAGTACGAGAGCATTTTGGGCTTAGTGACCAAAACTCCATAGGATTTCGAGCTGTCATGGACAAAGACAAGAGTGGCCCTTGGGTGAAGGTGTTTCATTGGGCAAGGGCCAAATACATCTGAATTAGACAAGAACTGGGGAATGTGGATTGGGAGCAGTTATTTGAGGGCACATCTACGTCTGGAATGTGAGCGGTTTTTAAAGACATGTTGATTAAAGTGCAGGGCAAACAGAAAGATAGGAATGGCAGGATTCAGAAACCATGGATGACAAGGGAAATTGTAAGCCTAGTCAAAAGGAGAAAGGAAGTATACAAAAGTCTAGGCAGCTACAAACTGACAAAGTCATTGAGGAGTATAGAGAAATTAGGAAGGAACTTAAACGTAGAATTAGGAAGGCAAAAAGGCAATGAAATATCTTTAGCAAACTGGGTCGAGGTGAATCCCAAGGCTTTTTATGTATATGTTAGAAGAAAGAGGGTAACAAGGGAAAGAATAGGCTCCCTCAAGGACAAAGGAGGGAAGTTATACATGGAGCCACAGGAAGTGGGAGAGATCCTGAATGAGTACTTTGTATCAGTTTTCACCAAGGAGAAGGGATGAGTGTGTGAATATTCTAGAGAATGTAAATACATTGAAAAAGGAAGTTTTGGGTATCCTAAATTGCAATAAGTTAGACAAGTCCCCGGGACCAGATGGGATCTATCCCAGGTTTCTGCGAGAGGCAAAGGGAGAAATAATTAGGGCATTAGCAGATATCTTCACATCCTCCTTGACCACAGGCAAAGTTCCAAAGGCCTGGAGACTAACCAATGTTGTTCCCTTGTTTAAGAAAGGAAGCAGGGATAATCCAGGAAACTATAGGCCCGTAAGCCTGATATCTATGGTGAGAAGCTCTTGGGGAAGATATTGAGAGACAAGATATTTGCGCATTTGGAGGAAAATGGACAAGTTAGTGACAGGCAGCATGGTTTTGTCAGGGAAAGGTCAAGTCTCACCAACCTGATTGAATTTTTTGAAGAAGTAACGAGGATAATTGATGAGGGAAGGGCTGTGGATGTAGTTTATATGGACTTTAGTAAGGCGTTTGATAAAGTCCCACATTGCAGGTTGGTACAAAAACTAAAATCACAAGGGATTCGGGGTGGCCTGGCTAGATGGATAGAAACCTGGCTTGGTCATAGAAGACAGAGGGTAGTGGTGGAAGGATGTTTTTCACAATGGAGACTGGTAACTAGTGGTGTTCAGTAGGGGTCAGTCTTAGGTCCTTTGTTGTTTGTAGTATACATTAATGATCTGGAGGAAAATGTGGGTGGTCTGATTAGTAAGACCATAGAATTCCTACAGCGTGGAAACAGGCCTTTCAGCCCAACAAGTCCATGCCAACCCTCAGAGTACCCACCCAGACTCATCCCCCTAATCTACACATCCCTGAACACTACAGGCAATGTAGCATGGCCAATCCATCTAGCCCGCACATCGTTGGACTGTAGGAGGAAACCAGAGCACTGGGAGGAAACCCATGCATACACGGGGAGAATATGCAAACTCCACACAGACAGTCACTCGAGGGTGGAATCAAACCCAGGTCCCTGGCGCTGTGAGGCAGCAGTGCTAACCACTGAGCCACCGTGCCACTCTGAAGTTTGCTGATGACACGAAGATTGGTGGAGTTGCTGATAGTGCCGACAATTGTGAAAGTATACAATAGGATATAGGTAGATTGGCGATTTGCACATAGAAATGGCAGATGGAGTTTAATCCAGACAAAAATGTGAGGTGATGCATTTTGGAGGGTCAAATTTAGGTGTGAATTATATTGTAAATGGCAGAACCCTTAGGAATACTAACATTCAGATGGATCTGGACGCGCAGATCCACAGTTCCCTAAAAGTGGCAACACAGGTAGCCAAGGTGATTGAGAAAGCATATGGCATGCTTGCCTTCATCATCCGGGCCATGGAGTACAAGAGTTGGCAAAACATGTTGCAGCGATATAAAACCCTGATTAGGCCGCATTTGGAGTATTGTGTGCAGTTTTGGTCACCAAATTACCAGAAGGATGTGGAACCTTTGGAGAGAGTACAGAGAAGGTTCACCAGGATGTTGCCTGGTCTCCAGGGCATTGGCTATGAGGAAAGGTTAAAAAGACTATGATTGTTTTCACTGGAAAGACAGCAGCTGAGAGGGGACCTGACAGGGGTCCACAAAATTATGAGAGGCATAGATAGGGTGGATACTCAGAGGCTTTTTCCCAGGGTTGAAGTTTCAATTACAAGGGGGAACAGGTTCAAGGTGAAACGAAGAACGTTTAAGGGAGATGTGTGAGGGAAGTTTTTCACAGAGGGAATGGTAGGAGCCTGGAACACACTGAGGTGGTGGAAGCAGGCATGTTGGCGACATTTAAGCGGCATCTGGATGGTTACATGACTAGGGAGAGAATAGAGGGATAAGGGCAGAAGGTTTGTTTTCTGGATTAGTTGGGGTATGATGATCAGCAAAGCTTGCGATTTCAAATAAACCTGTTGGACTATAACCTGGTGTCGTATGATTTCTGACTTTATCCACCCCCGCCCAACACCAGCGCCTCCACATCATGTTGATGGTGTTAGACAAAGCAGTTCTGATGGACTTTATGTGCCAGTACACCTTGTTGAGGTGAATTATCTTCCTCTGCAGTCCACCTGCTACATAAATGACAGAAGGAATATGTGTGCAAGTCAAAGGGGATGGTAAATCAAGCATGCTAAGAAACAGGAGATGGGACAGAGGTGGCATAAGTGGCATAGCACTTTTCGTTGGAGAAAATGGGTGAAACATTTATGATCTGAAGGTGTTTAAGGCTGCAAAATTCCAAGTAGACACATTAAGTGCTGTTCCTTGAGTTCCATTGGAACAGTGTAGGAGGCTGAAGAAGAGAAGTCAGGTGGGTCAGAGGATTAATGTGGGTTAAATAAAGATTAATAGTAATCCTCCCTGGGCAAATCTGACTTTGTAACAGCGGCTGTTACAGAGATGGTCATTCACTATGGCAGACCTGTTTGAAGGAGTAACCTTGATAGTGAACAACAGAGACCGGGACCAGCTGGACACCCCCCAGCAGCTGGAGAACAAAGTGCGTAACAAGCTGGTGCTGCTCTATTTCGGGTCCAGGGAGTGCCCGAAATGCCAGGAGTTCACCCCTGTGCTGCAGGAGTTCACTAACCAGTTGCTGGATGAGTTCTATGTGGAACGGGCAGCTCAGCTGGTGCCTGTGTATGTCTCCCAGGATCAAACGGAGGAGAAGGAGCAGCAATACCTTAGGACACTGCACAGGAAGTGGCTCTATCTACCTTTCCAGGACAAGTACAAGAGGTAAAGGCATTGCTGCGGTGGAACAGGGAAGGTTAAAATTTTTTTAAAGAATGTGCAGTAGAGGCAGGTGCAAGACACAAGGGGGCAGTAATGAGACAAATGAAGAAACAGAAGATGAGCCCAATTAAACTGCAGTTACAGCAGAACTATTACAAATAAGAATTACGAGTTTTTTTTCATTCATTCATGTGATAAGAGCATCACTGGCTAGGCCACCATTTACTACTCATCCCTAATTGCCTAGAGGGCAGTTAAGAGTCAACCACATTGTTGTGGGCCTGGAGTTACATGTAGGCCAGACCAGGTAAGGATGACAAATTTCCCTCCCTGAAGGACATTAGTGAACCAGATTGATCTTTCTAGCAATCAACATTAGTTTATGGTCATCATTAGACTTCTAATTCCATATTTTTATTGAATTCAATTTCCACCATGGTAGGATTTGAACCCAGGTCCCCAGAGTCTCTGGATTAGCAATTACACCACTCGGCCATTGCATCACATTGGAGGCTTATAGTGTATTAACTTGAGTTGACATACCCTAACTCACACCAGGTTGCAATCATCCATCTCTGTTGTGCTTGCTGATCACACACATCTCCCAATCAGACATCTTGATTTTAATCTGAGATAACAATGTGTAGAGCTGGATGAACACAGCAGGCCAAGCAGTATCAGAGGAGCAGGAAGGCTGACGTTTCGGGCCGAGACCCTTCATCAGAAAAGGGGGAGGGGAAGGGGGTTTTGAAATAAATAGGGAGAGAGTGGGAGGCGGATAGAAGATGGATAGAGGAGAGGAAACAAACAGGTCGAAGAGGCGGGGATGGAGCCAGTAAAGGTGAGTGTAGGTAGGGAGTTAGGAAGGGGATAGGTCAGTCCAGGGAGGACGGACAGGTCAAGGGGGCGGGATGAGGTTGGTCGGTAGGAGATGGAGGTGCGGCTTGAGGTGGGAGGAGGGGATAGGTGGGAGGAAGAACAGGTTAGGGAGGCAGGGACGAGCTGGACTGGTTTTGGGATGCGGTAGGGGGCACAGTGGCTCAGTGGTTACACTACTGCCATACCGCGCCAGGGACCCGGTTTCAATTCCACCCTCGGATGACAGTCTGTGTGGAGTCTGAACATTCTCCTAGTGTCTGCGTGGCTTTCCTCCAGGTGCTCCAGTTTCCTCCCACATTCCAAAGATGTGCAGGTTAGGTGGATTGGCTATGCTATATTGCCCATAGCATCCAGGGATGTGTAGATTAGAGGATGGGCCGGGTCGGTGTGGACTTGTTGGGCTGCAGGGCCTGTTTCCACACTGTAGGGGTTCTATGATACTTCTGAAATGCAGTCACTGCTGTGAAGTAGGAAGTGCAGCAGCCAAAAAGCTCAATGTCATCAAGATATTTTTAAACTGATTTTGTCTAGGGGGATTGAATGTTGGTTGGGGCAGTGGGGGAAAACGTTCCGGCTGTGGATTCTTGTACATTCACCTAAGAGGGTATGCATGATTTTGCTGTGCTCAATCAGACTGCTGCAGTTGGCTACTAATCAGCAGTGACTACAATTCCAAATATTTTACTGGCCAAGAATAAACCATGGCATGAGTGAGTCAAAAGGCATTATGCAGATTCTCACTCCTTCTTTTAAAGAGCTGATTTGAAATGGTAACATGGGCTGCAATGAATGTTGGTATTTTATTTTCTAGAGAGTTAAGAAAAATGTACAACATTAACATCATCCCAAGCATCATTGTTCTAAAGCCCAATGGAGACCTCATCACCAGAAACGGAGTGGCAGAGATCTCCACATTGGGAGTGGGGTGTTTCAAGAACTGGTGGGAAGCATCTGAGATCATTGATAGGAATTTTCTCCTGGCAGAAGACTTCGAAGACTGGACCTGGAAGAGCATGACCGATCCCTTAAGGCAGCTTAAGTACAAGATTAAGAAGACTGGGGAGGAGAAAGTCCATGAGATAGACTGAGCAATGTTGTGTGTTACAGCTCCAGCTTCCATCCAATGCTTTTTAAACGCTTTCCATGACACATCCCCCACAATTGATTATTCCCTCCTGTCACACATTAGCAAAGCTCTACTCCAAAACTAAATTGTGGACTGGAACGTAGAGGAATTCCTTTCGTAATCCTCTGTCATCTCAGATGTGAGGGGGAAAAAAAATCACTATATTATTGCAAGCAGGCTAAACTACAAAACTAGATTTATTCAAAAATAAAATTATAATAATGCAACAAGATGTCAAACACCACAATACTTATCCTATAGAATTATAATCAGTCCATAAGGTATTGATATATCCTTACTCTTGCTTTCTTGCCACAGAGGTATTTGGAAAATAAGTTCTGGTGGTAAATTTTGAGAGATCTACCTGCCAGCCCCTAGCACAATTAGTGATAAAGTGAATAGGGAACTAATGAAAATGCAGGAATACAACATGTCCTCTCCCTTATATGGAAGCATGCTTTCGAAAATAATTATTCATTTGAATTAGCTTCCAAGATAATAATTATTCTGCCCTGTAACATCTGATCCCAATCTTAAATTACCATATGTAATAGGGGCCCCTGCCAACAGCAATTGCAGAATACATCCACCAGACAACAGCCATTCATTCTGCTGCACCTGTGCATGTTACCATCTTTGATTATCAAAGGAAATCCTCTCATTGGCTCGCTTTGTAATGAGCATTAAAGCAAGATAGACAACATTCTTCCTTTTAAAGAAATCTTTCACCTGATTTAACTTCCTTCTTCCTGTAATTAATACTTGCATTTACATCCATGCACTAGTGAAGGCGAACCAGTCTATGATGTGGAAACACTGCCCATTATTTTGACCAACATTTATGCAGGCTCCTGGGCTCGGCTGTGTCTTCACCTTGCGAACCAAAATAGGCTTTATCTTGGCTGTCAGCCAGGAAGCTGGCAACTGGGGACACGCCACACAGAGATCAGGGTCAAATAGCTGAAACGAAGAACACTTACCGCCATCTCACCACTCACTCTTCTCAATGACTCTGGAAAAATTATTTAAAAATATCCCGACAATAAAGGGGAAAAAATGCACTCAAATTCTTCTTTGACTCCCTTGAGGAAAATTGTTATTCCATTAACTTCTTTCACTCTGCATTCCCTTCCTCGTCAGATACAGATGTCTCACCTTCTGGTACTCGTGCTGTGGCACTGCCTGACCACAAGCCTGCACTCTGGTTTTAGGGAATGATTATAACAGCAAAAAGCCCAGGTGATATCGATCCAATGTTAACCTCCTGCTCTTACTGATGCTCCCTTCTCTTTGAATGTCCCATTTACACAGGAACCAATGCCATTGCAGTAGCCAACTTGTACCTGTAGCAGATGGAGTTGACTATATCTGGACTGTGACCTCCAAGAGACTGTATCGGAGGTCAAGTGCTATGAGTTTTGAGATATCAATACTGCCCTTAATTCATTCTGCCTTTCAGTGTGAAAGCGGAGTGTGTGTTAATTGGAACTGAATTAACAGAGAATGATGCACTCTATGCAAAAAAAGCCTAGAAAAGATAGCAGGTAACAGCAATGAACCACAGATCCAATCTTAATTTGGTCTCCTGTTCTGATCAGTGACTATACCGACATCAGGTCACTCAAAGTAATTGAACATTAGATGCTTGGCTGATTAGGATCATTCTCCTATCCTACCATGGTGATTGTATTTAAGTACCACTGAGCAACATCTGGCCTAGATCTTTGATGACCTGGGAAATGTACAACACTCAGGCCATTTGGACCAGCATTTATGCCAATTGGTACTGACACTGGATGGTATAGACTCCATTGTCCCAGTGCTATAATGGCCACTGCTACATGGTCAAGTGCTAAAGCAGCCACTAGTCAAGAGCTAAAGGACACATTGCATGACAGGGCAGTACAGGGTTCACGGGCCCTGTCTTAATGAATACTTTGGTGGACTGGTCTCTTCTGGGATAATGCCCTCAACTCAAGTCATCGCGATCTACAACACACCTGTGCCAGTCAAAAACCACACAACTATTCTCAACTCATTTCGAGCATTTAGCCCATAGGGGCATTTCAAGTGCACATCTAAATACTTTCTGAATGTCATGATGGTTTCGGTCTCTCCTACTCTTACAGGCAGTGAGCTTCAGACTCCTGCCACCCTCTGGGTGAAAACTTTTTTTCCCTCGCATCCCTTCTAAACCTCCTGCTCCTTCCCTTAAACAGAGAGAGCAAACATCCACAAAATGACGCAACCAAGTTTGTATAAAACCTTTATTGTAAATTGCAAAGTAAACATATTTATAAACGTAAATTGTGAAATATTAAATAACGTGAAAATTTCCTAGGCATTGCTAGGATACTGGTAGTGTCGGGGTAAATCCGCCATCACACAGTCAGACCTAGTGTTCATCTCTGGCAGCCTTGTCCATTTTATAGAAAACCTTTCCTTTTTCCACGTGCAAGAAAATATTTTTGAAAATTCTCTATTGTACAATTGGCTGCAACTAAACATCAGGTAGTTAGAAACCTCAGACAGGTCATTGATATTATATCATCAATGCTGATCCATGATTAACTTTTATCAAATTACAGAATGGGAGGATAACAGGGAGCAGGGGAGTTGATTTGGAAAGGCACTGGTGGACTCAGTCCAGGAAGACAGCTGTAGGAAGTGTCACTCCTCAGTTCTCCCCCACCCTTCCTCTATTGAAAGTACTGACCCTTGCTGGGCTGTAGTCCCATTGTTGTACAGTAGGAAGCAACAGGCACTTTAATTGGAAAAGTGCTACCAGAGGAGGAGGTCTGGTGTCGCAGTTGAGTGTGTCCCTGCCGCCAAGGTTAGAGTGAGCAGGGGTTGACAGCGAAGCAAGGGGAGCTCATGACATGGCTAAACAGGTGGATTATTAAACTGAAAATTCTTCAGGCACACGCCGAAGGCAGTAAGGGCAGGAGAGATTTCTTGGCAGCAGAGAATTTGGAGCACCACCATCATTCTACCATCCTACAACTCAGTTGCCCGGCCACGTAGGACAGGTTTGGTTCAGTTGATTGACAGCCTTTGTAGATTTGAATGATGCCAATGGCACGGGGTTTGATCTCTGTTCCACTCGGGGTAGATTCAGGATCTGTATCCTTCTAGTAGACTTGTCTTTGGGCAGAGGACTCAAAAGAAAAAAGGAAGAACGTCAGTGTGGGCGAGCTAATGAGAGTGGAATGACCCAGGCTGGGAGCACCAGAGTTTCTGATTACAATCAATACTCATAAACCCAACACAGCTTAAGTCAGGTTTGCAGCACCAAAACGGAAGGGCCAGAGGAATCAGAAGGAGGAGCTCAGAGGTTAGAGTGAGGTGGACAAAAATGTACAAGTGGGTAAAAACAGGGAGATTAAAGTCAACTGTAAACATGTGTTCTACAACAAGAGATGTTGAAAAAGATCCAGGGCACCTAACGAATGCAACAAGGCTTTCCAAACCACACACTGCTGTTTTGAACGCACCTCAAAATACCACGTCTAGTCAGAGTTAGAGATACACGGCATTCCTGCAATGGAGGCTGAGCATGGAAAAGTGAAATAAAACCCCACGACTCAGATCAAAATACCACGTCTTCAACAAGGGCCTTGCTTCATCTCACTGTGTGCGTGGTCAAGTCTGAGAAGGTGAAGGGAATGGACGAAGGTTGCTGGTTCCGGTTCTCTTTCGTAATGTCAGCGCAGAGTACTGCTGCTTCCCAGCACTCTTCCAATACATTCTGTGCTGGGTTCCCCGAGGGTTGGATAGCAGGGAGGTGACCACGAATACCTGTCAGTACAGCTCGGCTCACATGGTGAAGTGCAGACCTCTAGGTTTTATACGTGCGGGAGGAAGATTAGGGGGCAGCAAGGCTCCATCTGACTTGATAAAGACCCATTTCTGGAACTTCCGGAGTTATTCCATCAGGTAAAAACCAAAAGGACAGCAGATGCAATAAATCGGGAAAAGCAGGAGCTGCTGGAAAAGCTCAGCAGGTCTGGCAGCAACTGTGAAGAAAAATCAGAGTTAACGTTCTGAGGAAGGGTCACCGGACCCAAAACGTTAGCCAATTTTTCTTCAGAGATGCTGCCAGACCTGCTCAGCTTTTCCAGCAACTTCTGTTTTTATTTCATCAGGTGCCCGAGTTCGAACACTATATCAGCATCTTGTACTGTTTAGTTTTGCACCAAAGATCGATTGCAGCTGTGCTCATGGGTCAGGAAGGTGAACTTCCACAGGAACTCTCTCAGCATGGGCTGGTTGGGCCAAATGGCCTATTTCTGTACCATTTAATCCAATGTAATCCATAGTCCATCATAACAATGGGAGTTTTAGTAGATCATCTTCAACCATGGAATGTCCTGTGGAAATTCTAAATGTTAAACTTTGTCCATTATCTCAAATGACTTCACCGTTGGTTCAGTTGATCAGGCTTTCGTACTGGAGACGGAAGGTTTTGGATTCAGTCCCCACTCTGACTTCAGCAGGTACCGCTGGGTTACACGGAGGGAAAACTTGGGGGTGAGTCTAAAGGCAGGGCTTCCCAAAGTGGGGCTTGGGGCCCTGAGTAGGGCTAAGAGTTAAAATGTTGGAGCAGCAAACAACCAAGATTCTAACTGTCTCCGTGGACCAAGCTGGGCTGCTGCTCTAATGGGCTGTTGCTCTCCCAGTTTTCACTGAGGGCACCAAGACAATTTTCAAGTCTGGGAATGGGGTCACAGTGGGAAGCGGCTCAGGAAGCACTGTTCCAACGATCCAGACGAGATGGAATATAACACTAAAGCTTTGCAATTGACTAGAGGGCGATAAAAGATAAACAAACAGTTGGGATTAAACTGCTTCACACTGTACAAAGCAAATATAAAGGATAGATCAAAATTGGGGGGGTGGTGGGGGTGGGAAGGAAGGAAGGAAGGAAGGAAGGAAGGAAGGAAGGAAGGAAGGAAGGAAGATCTCAACAGAAAATTCAGAAATGAGCTACGCGGCTACAAAAGGTAATGAGGAGTACAAGAGAGCAAAAGTGTGGAATGGGTTTCCTGACCTTTATGACTAGCTAAATGACCCAGAGAGATCTTTCAGGTCTGGGGTAATGGAACGTTCCCCGAACTGGCAGTAACTTGTCATATACAAGCAGCGTGTAGTGTCTTACATAGATTGAGACTGTCAATCTTTCCAAGACACAACGGCTGACTAATTGTGGGCCTATAGTCTAGACTGTTCCCGTGGAAAAGAAAATGCTTAATTTAGGAGATTCGGGATGGGCGGAAAAAGAGGAACAGATGTAAAACTGACTAATGCTCTGGCCATCTGTTATCCCCATAGCGACGAGGAAGTGCATTAAATTTAAATAGCAGTTGGATCCAGGAATCTGAAAGTCTTGGCATCTCGATCTGATACAAATCCAAGAGATTTATAATAGATGTAGCAGACACTGTTGTTGAAATGATATGCAGCTACCCGTTGGCTACACAACACTCCAGTAGCGGTTTCGACTTTAGAAGTGTAAAATACTGAATGGGCTAGGATTCAACCAACTCTCTGCATTTTTGTTATACATTTTCTCTATTCTCGCCCAGAATACAAAAAAATGAACCTGAAAACCAAAGTGGAATCCAAGCTCTTTGAGCAGGGCCTAATCCCAGTTTATAAACAATGTTAAGGGCATTCTCTGCATTTCTATCCATTATAAGTACTAACCATGCTGATAACCCAAGTCTGGAGAACACAGCAACTGGAGGAGTCAACAAGATGTGGAGCTGGAGGAACGCAGCAGGTCAGGCAGCAGAGGAGCAGGAAAGTCAACGTTTCAGGTCGGGACCCTTCATCAGGACTGGGTTCCTCGTCATCTCCAAGGAACTGGAGGAAACCATCAGGCCCTCAGATCTGTTACGTCATCAGTAAAGTAGGCAATAGCTGATTGGCACCTCACTTCCATTTATTTTAGGCCATAATCGCAGCATCAGGCCACTGAGTTCACGTTCATACAAAACCTTCATGTGAGTTTCTCCACAATGGAGCCAAGCCTACGGTGGTGAAGGTGGTGGTTTAAAAGAACAAGAGATTTGGCTAATGACCTCACCAACACATTCCCCAGAATGCCTGCTCCTGGGGCTACAGTAAGCTGACATGTTACTCTCAAGGCTTTCATAGGGGACAATGGGATCTCTAGGCAATTACAAAAGCGTGAGGAGCAAAAACCCAAAGGTCAAATTCAGGGAGAGGAAGATCCACCTGCAAATGACAAGATTAAAGGTGAAATAACTGTAACAAAAACTACATTTTATGATATTGCATTAAATTTGGAGTATAAACAGAATATCAAGACAGCAGAGTAGAAACACACCTTAAGGACAGCAGCACAAAGTGGGTGGTATTGAGCCAGATGGCCATGATACAGTCCCTGCTTGATATCCCTTAACACAACTGAATACTTGGCCGAGTGTACGAAAGGCTGTTGACACAAACGATGTTGCTGCCCACGTTGCAGACCTACCCTGCTAAATTACAGCACACGGAAACATGCAACTCACTCGTAGCTGTGGCCCCTGTGAGGTATTCAATCCTTTTGAGGTGGATGGTGTAGTACTAACTATTAATATACATTGAGGCACGTTGCAAAGTTAATCAACAGTTAACAGTTAGTCAGCACGACCGCTCAGCCCCAGTCACCCTGAAAACCAGTGAGGGACAGTACTGAGTGCAGCTGGGGTCCAAAAGTCATTTTAACTCATTCAAGCACGGGTCACATCCCCGTCTCCGTTTATTTCAGACACCCCGCCCACAATCTGTCATTGAAAACTGCTACAAACCAGTGAGTCACAGCTCGTCTCTAGAGGCTGAGTCAATGGGAGAGTGTGACACGTCCAGATTCTGTGCCGCTTCCCGGATTTTTGCCTGCTCCTTGGTCTTCTGCGACTTGGCACGGTCCCAGTCCGTCTTCAGGTTCTCGTTGTCCCAGACCGTGGAGGTCTCCGTGTCGCTCACGTAGCCTGGGTCACCTGTGTAATGCGTGGGGTAGATAAGGAGCGGCTCCACGGAGAAAGCCCTCAGGTCACGGTTCTCAAAGTGATCCATGTACTCTGACCTAATGGAGAAACAGAAAGCTGCACGGTTCACAAGAATACGCAAGGCAGGTGCAAACAATAAGGACCAACATTCTTGGAAAGAGAGTTGACTTTAAATGCAACTGATTCAAAGCAATAAAGGAAAAGGACATTCAGATATGTTCTGTGACAATATAGGAGGGGTCCATTCAGACCACTGAACCTGTCTGTCTATCCAGGTAGATCATAGCTGATTTGATTCTAAACTTCATTTCCCCACCATGGGTTCACAGCCACATCAAACAAAATCCAGCTTTGTAACTATCAGCCCACTCCCCTCACCCTCAATTGTATTTTAGAGGATACGATTCCAGACTGCCACCCTAAAGTGCTTCCCATCACCCTGAACTGTCTACATCTAATTTTGATGTTTAGGACCTTCATTCTGGACTCCCCTTCATTTACCCTATCAACATTAATCACCTTAAAGTCTTCCACTGGATAGGCTCAATTATCTGAATTCAAGAGAATACAAGCCAAGTCTAAGCAGCCTGAAACAAAAAAAATTTCTGGAAAAGCCCAGGAGGTCTGGCCACATCTGTGGAGAGACATCAGAGTTAACATTTCAGGTTCAGTGACCCTCCCACTGGACCCAAAACATGAACTGTGATTTCTCTCCACAAATTCTGCCAGACCTGCTGAGCTTTTCCAGCAAGTTCTGTAATTGTTTCTGATTTCCAATATCTGCAGCTCTTTCAGTTTTTATACCCAAAGCAGCCTGACTTCATTTTAGCTCATTCTGCCCTGATCTCATACTGACACAGCACCATGTCTGAATCCATCTTTAATGACTTCAACAGTCTGCAATATTCTACATGCACTGTACCCAGATCTCTGCAAAGCTGTCAAACAACTTTTATCACAAGTGGGTTAGACGAGGGTGGGTTTTACATTTAAGATTTATTTTGCTTAATTTTGTCAGCTTTACAGACTTTTTACAAATGCAAGTATTCTGATAGTGTGTCAAGAGGACATTGTTGTACTAATGCACCCATTAATGTTGTCTGACATTAACAGCCAGGCTTTGTTATATTTTAAACCAGGCAGGTTGATTCGAACAGGGTGGAGTATGTGTTTTCTGTCAGTCAGCGAAGCACAGGGCCATGTGTTTTAATACGTGTAGCTTCCAATAATACTAATTACTATGTGCCACACTTGCTTCCATTGTACGTCACATTGTCAGTTGGTTTCACAAACCCAAATTTGTGGACTACCTGATGACCATGACAACTATGAAAGCCCAGGCCCGAGTAGCCTACTTCAGCTCCCAATTTATAAGTTTGTGTCTTGTTCACCTTAGGGAAGATCTGCTACCCTCAACTAGACTGACTAACAGGAATGTAGCTAACTCTTAACCGCCCTCCGAAATGGCCCAAGCCCCTTAGTTCAAGAGGAATTAGGGATGAGCAACCAATGCTGGCCTTAGCAGTGATGCCCACAGTTCGTGAAAGGATAATTTCTTTAAAAAGTTATATACAGCCTAGGGACACCGTCGGTATCAATCACAGGGCAGTCAAGGAAGACAGATGAGAAGTCTACCTCAGTTAGAGCGGGTATCAAACCTACACTGTTGGTAGTACTCTGAACAAAAGGTCAGTCAACTGAGTAAACTGATCCTCCCACCTCAGGCTATCAAGCTTCAAGTTAAAAAGCCAGCATTCTACCCCAGAAGAAAGAGTGAGGAGCCTAACCCTTTCTTAACCTTTGACCTGCACATGTCACAGGACCACCAGTATCTCTTTTGCACAGCCCTCAGTCAACGGATAGTTCAGCAACAGGTCAGTCTGAGAGTTCATGGTACATACACTGGGTGCTTGTCATACATCACAGGCAGAAATTCATCCACAGGTAACATCTTGTTGAATGGCTTGGCATCGATGAGCTTCTGTGCCCCTTGCAGCGAGAGGACGTAACCCAGAGTCCAATAGGAGTAATCTGCCTCCACCAGATTCCGGACCCCAGGCACCGGCTTCTCCGGGTGATCCACTTGCATCCGCTTTCGGCCAATGTAGCTGCAGGAAGCAGAAATGGAGGAGGGGACTTGTGTTAAGGAGAGGAGGTGCAGCAGCTGAAAGCAAAAGGGAGGGTGAATTCCAAAATATTGCGGGGCAAACACGCCACAAGATGCAGGATCTTCGGGAGATGCTAAACGAGAAAGCTTACAGAAGATAGAGACCCAGCTGTCAATGAAGGAAACGATCATAAAGAAAAGTTAATGTGTTTAAAAAAATAGGAATAAAAACAGAAAACTCAGAAGCTGGAGAAACTCAGCAGGTCCAGCATCATCTGTGGATAGAGTAACAAATATAATGTTCTGAAGAAGAGTCATACTGGACTCAAAAAGTTAACTCTGTTTCTCTCCATGGATGCTGCCAGACCTGCCGAATTTCTCCAGCATTTTTGGTTTTTATTTCAGATATGCAGGCGAGGTGGTGGGGTATTGGTAATATCACTGGACGAGTGACCCAGAACTCCAGGCTAATGGTCCAGGGACTTGGGCTCAAATTCCAACATGGTAGGTGGTAAAATTTGAATTCAATAAAAATCTGGAATCAGGGCAGAGCCTAATGACAACCAGGTAACTCCTGCTGATTTCCATAAAGACCCATCTGGTTCACTGATGTCCTTTAGGGAAGGAAACTGCCATCCTTACTTGGTCTGGCCTACATGTGACTCCAGACCCACAGCAATGTGGTTGACTCTGAAGGAGGAATGGGCAATAAATGCTGATCTAGTCACACCCACATCCCAGAACGATTTTTGTTTAAAAAAAGCAGCATCCATAATCCTTTGCCTTCATTTAAGGAGAGAAATGGAAACAGAAAGATGAACTGAACACAAAGATAAACAGCAAAGGAAGTTGGGCAGGCTTCGTCCATTTGTTTCAGCTCAACGGATAGCAACACTGCTCTGAATCAGAAGGTCGTGGATTCAAGTCAGGCAGCAAATCCAGGCTGCCATTTCAGTGCAGTGCTGAGGGAATGCTGCATTGATGAAGGTGGTGTCTTTGAGATGCCATTCTCAGCGAGAGGTAAAAGATCCCATTGCCTTATATCAAAGAGCAGCAATTAAATTATCTTGGGGTCACGGATAATATTTGAGCCTTGGGGCTCTTGTGGTGCAGTCGTTGCGTCCCTACCTCTGAGCCAGGAGGCCCGGGATCACAACATGGCCCCATTTACAGCAACGAGGTGAGACACAGACACAGACACAGATTTTCTGGGTCATGATTGAGGGATAAATCAGGACGAACTCCACTGCTGTCCTTTAAACAGCGCCGTGGTATCTTTCACGTCCAGCGTAGGGAGCAGATGGGTGCTTACCTGAAAAGCACAACATCCTCAGTGTCAATCAGGATTACGGACTTAAATAGATTAGGAACTGAACCCACGACCTTCCGGCTCAGAGAAGAATGTGCTACTCTGAGCCACAGCTGGAACCTTTGACAGTGATGTATGGTTATTGCGCTGGGTGTAGATTGTAACACTCATCAAGTGTCCATATCACTGTGCAGAGGCAAACTTTACTCAACTTTAAATGTAACTACAGACAGTGTAGCCCAGTTCTATCACTAGTGGCTTTACCAGGGCCTCAAATCATTGCCCAAAAATATACTTCTGCTTATTCTGCTGTAGAACCCATTCTAATTATGTCAAACTACCCGCATAGTTATTAACAGAACTGGTAACAACTGACAGTTCTAGTTACAACTTGGGAATCGAAGTCAGAAATAGCACATGGTCCACAATCTGTTCCTGGGTAGTCCCATCAAACCTGCATTTATTGGTCATCCTTAATTGCCCTAAGCAGATATTGGTGGCTTCTACTTTTCATTTTTTTTTTTTTTTTTTTTTTTAAGTAAGAAGTGTTAAATATAGGTGCCTACAGACTGGTGTTACCCAGCCCCCAGAGCACAGAATGCTTGTTAGTAGCACTGAGAGAGCAACCTTCCAACAGTGTATCCTCAACCACCAACCACTGCCATTCTGCCAGGATTAAGGGATGTCCAGCGCACACCATGGCACAGAGAGTGTTACAAAGGTAGGGCTAAAGATAAACCAGATCAGGGCGTTTTTTCTGCTTACTCACATCAGATCCCAGTCGAGTGCAGCCTTCTCCACTTCCTTCATCAAATATTTCAGTCTTCGCTTGAAGAAGATCTCGAACCGTAGATCATCTTCAAAGACCACAGAGGTCTGCAATCCTCGTTCAACTATCTGCAGAGAACCAAAGGAACAAGGTGAGGGCCGCAACAGCCAGAACTGAACACAGCAAAACTCAGGTGCTCAGCTTTCAAGAGTTCTATCTTGTGGACCCAGGTTAATGCCACGGGACCCGTACCTTACTAAGACTGGGCATGTGTGGGACCTAGACCTGGGGGAAAGTCGGTACCCATGAGCCATGGAGAGCGGGCCTGTACCTGCAGGAAAATATAACTGCTGCTAACATATGGAAAGTGGGTAGCTATGCCCCAGGGAAAGTTGAGCTGGAGTATTTTCTACCCCTAGGAGAGTGAATGCCCACACTGCCGGGAATGTTGGTACATCCATAGGATTGCATCCCAAGGAGTGCCATTGCCCATTAAGTGTTAGAATCAACACAGTCTATCCTCTAGGAAGAAAGGGTACTCCTAGCTCAGGGAGAGATGTTGTTTCCACAGGAAGCATACCCCAGGGCCCATTAGTCTTCTCTACTCAAGGGAAAACACTATGAATGGCTGTAGCTTGTCCCTATAGTGGAAGGTCCTCATCAATGGTACCACTCTACCCTAGTGGCCCTACCCAAGGCCACACCATCCTTCCTACAGTAAGGTGGCCTGAATGAACTGCAAAATCCCAAACTAGCCAGCAATTTATAAAGAGCTCACCCAACCAGTAGGCATGGAGGTGGGACTTCGTCTCCTCAAGGACTGTGCGGAGGTCACTCTTACCAATACTGTCATGGACAGATGCAACTGCAGCTGGCAGATTGGTAAGGATGAGGTAAAGTATTCTTTTCCCTCTTGTTGGTTCCCTCACCACCTGCCACAGACCCAGTCTCGCAGCTATGTCCTTTAGCACCTGACCAGCTCGATCTGTAGTACTGTTGCTGAGCCATTCTTGGTGGTGGACATTGAAATCCCCCACCCAGAGTACATTTTGTGCCCTTGCCATCCTCAGTGCTTCCTCCACGTGTTATTCAACATTGAGGAGTACTGATTCACCAGCTGAGGGAGGACAGCATGTGGTAATCAGCAGGAGGTTTCCTTGCCTGTGTTTAACTTGAAACCATGAGACTTCACGGGGTCCAGAGTCAATGTTGAGGTCAACACCCTCCCGATTGTACACCACTGTGCCGCCACCTCTGCAGGGTCTGTCCTGTCAGTGGGACAGGACATATCCAGGGATGGTAACGGTGGTGCCTGGGACATTGTCTGTAAGCTATGATTCCGAGAGTATGGCTATGTCAGGTTTTTGCTTGACTAGTCCATGAGCCAGCTCTCCCAATTTTGGCACTAACCCCCAGAGGTTAGTGACGAGACTTTGCAGGGTCGACAGGGCTGTTTCCGTCGTAGTCTTATCTGGTGCCTACGTCAATGCCAGGTGATCCATCTGGTTTCGTTTCTTTGAGAGTTTGTAGTGATTGGATACAACTGAATGGCTTGCGAGGCCATTTCAGAGGGCAACTGAAAGTCAACCACATTGCTGTGGGTCTGGAGTCACATGTAGGTCAGACCAGGTGAGGATGGCAGATTTCCTTCCCTGAAGGACATTAATGAACCAGATGGGTTTTTTCCAACAATCGGCAATGATTTCATGGTAACTGAATTCGAATTCCACCATCTGCCATGGTGGGATTTGATCCCAGATCTCCAAAACATCAACAGTCTAGCGATAATACCAATAGGCCACCACCTACCTTCAGTACAAGGCTCAGATTAAGGCTCAGTACATCTTGTCTATTATTGAGTACCCCCGAGGAAAGGCACATCTCTTCTTGCATGCACTAGGACAATTTGCAAGGGTAGTAATTTGAAAGAAAAATCAAAATTTACACTGTAATCATCTGCTGCATTGTCCAGGGCAATACTTGTAGCATAGAGTCCATCTGCCAATCAATCAACACTTTGCTTTCTGACAGTATAACGTTTTCCCTTTACTTTATCATTTTTTGCCAAAGGTCCTGCAAGGTGAAAAAGCCTTGATAAAATGTGCCTGCTTTTTTCTAGTAATACTCAAGTCATAGAGTCATAAGACCAAGTCCCTTGGCTTTGAACTCCCCTGCCCCAGGGAAAAGACCTTTGCTGTTCACCCTATCCATACCCCTCAGGATTTTATAAATCTCTAGAATTCACCCTTCAACTTCCAGCGCTCCAATCAAAAAGGTACCAGTCCATCCAGGCTCTCCTTATAACTCAAACCCTCCATTCCTAGTCCGTCGTTACTACCCCTATTGTTGTTATATGGGTCGGTCCCAGCCGATTGAACTCCCAAGACTCTCACCTAACATTGCAGCTCCTTACCTCATTCCAGACATTGTAGTGACTGAGAAAACAGCCCATCTCCCCCTTGGTCAAGGGTCGGCCCGAGTAAGGGTCTTTATAATCTGGCAGCATGGTGATGCCAAGGGCCTTTATCTGGGTGCTGTTGAAGGCTCTGTATGGATAATTGATGGGGAACGTATTAGCACATTTCAGGAGGCCAACACGAACCAGCTAATACAAGAAACAGAATCAAATGCAGGCCATTCAGCCCCTCCACCTGATGTGATCATGGCTCGTTTTCTAACCCAACACCAATTTTCCACACTTTTCCCATGTGAGGAGGTCAAAACTGAAAAACGAGCAGCATGGAAGAGGAGAACTCATTTCACAAAAGGGAAAAAGCTTAGGTTCTGATAGGGCTATGCCATTATCTCAAGACATCCCTCACTTACCTCCATGTGGCAGCACGGTGGCTCAGTAGTTAGCAGGGACCCAAGTTCGATTCTACCTTCGGGTGACTGTCTGTGTGGAGTTTTCACATTCACCCTGTATTTGTGTGGGTTTCCTCTGGGTGCTCTAGTTTCCTCCCACAGTCCAAGGATGTGCAGGCTGGGTGGATTGGCCATGGGAAATGCAGGGTTACATGGATAGGGTAGGGGTTCGGTCAGGCGGGCTGCTCTTTGGAGGGTTAATGTGGACTTGATGGGCTGAATGGCCTGCTTCTGCAATGTAGGGATTCTATGATTCTACCCAGACTGATTGGGCCCCTGCAAATCCTTTCCTCCCTAACGGTTGCACCACTGGGTCTGCAACACCATCGGAACGCTCAGAAGTTTTAAACTGATTAACTGCAAGTGATTGCCAGGTGATAATAGTCAGGGTATAATAGAGGATAGAATGCAATACATGGGAAAACAGGAAATAGAAGGTGGGTCCCAGAAATAGAGGGTGGCCCAGAAAGCTTGCTTCTCCATTAGATCATGGCCAATCTTTCCACCTCAATGCCATTGTCCTGCACTATTCTCATCACTTGACATCTTTAATACCTACAAGTTATACTCTACATTCGAGATTCCAAGGCTCTCTGGGGAAGGAATTCCCCATTCACCATTGTGAGAGAGAAGAAATTCCTCATCTCTCACTTGCCTTGCCTCTGTATCGGTTCCTGCAATATGGAGACCAAAGCTGTGCACAATAGTCTTCAGGATCATGCACGTTGAAGACAAACGGAATAGGGCTGAAACCTTGTCTAGAGTTACACACTGAATTCAGATTTGTAACTCAGTTACCTTCCATCAACAGCATCAATCACTTTGCATGCAATCTCCTGCTCATATAGAGAATCAAGCATTCGCATTCTCCTATCTGGGCGGCGCTTCAAGTTGATCAGAAAAATCTAGGAGATAAAAATTGCAAAAAATGCTTAAAATTGAACATTGAGTTCAGGTATCTTCCAATAAGATGAGCATATACGTACATAAGTGTTCGTTCATGGAATGCGTTGTCACGGGCCAGGCCAGCATCTGTCCCCATCCCTAGTTGCCCTGTTGAACTGAATGGCTTGTTGGGCCAATTCAAAGGGCAGTTGAGAGTCAACCACATTGCTGTGCGGCTGGAGTCACATATAAGTTAGACAAAGCAAAAATGGCAGCTTTCCTTCTTAAAAAAGGATACTAGTGAATCAGATGGGTTTTTAATGATGAATTTTTGACAGTTTCACAGTCAACATTTGAGACTAGCTTTCATACCAGATTTTATGAATTCATCGTGGCATGTGACCCCACGTCCCCAGGACGCTAGCCTGGGTCTCTGGATTATTAGACCACTGACATTAACACTACGCCGCTGTCTCCCTGACCCTCTGATCCTGGAGTGTGCTAAGCAATACAGTCTACACAGTAAAAAAGGGTCCTCATCCAACAGGGTAGTGAGCCAGAAATGGAAGGCAATTCAAGCTGCTCTGAAACCTCTACCAACAAAGAGTACAAGAGCTGCAATGTTGCAGCATCACCATCATTCCACATCTTCCTGATATGAAAGTACATCAATACTCCTGTGAAGAAGTCAAAATCCTGAACCTTCCACCTATTCCTAGAGGAAGAGGGTGGTGTAGTGGCAATGTCACTGGATGAGTAATTGAGAGGTTCAAGCTAAATCTTTAGGGACAAAATCTCACACAGCAACTGCTGGAATTTAAATTCAAGCAATAAAGCTGCTCTATCATGGTGACCTCAGAGAGAGAGTAACTTACTCTAGACTACATGTGACTCCAAACGCACAACATGGTCGATTCTTAACTACCATCTGAAATGGCCCAGCAACCCGCAGCAATTAGAGATGGGCAAAATGCTGACCTGCCCACACTCTAACAGCAAGTTTAAATAACGATCTTACCTCATCGAAGCCCATCTTAGCCGGATACTTTGGTGACACAGACAGGTATCTGGAAGGCTCCATGGGAGCGTGGTTCACTGGAACATAAATAGTGTCTGATTATGGAGGGTTCACCACTTGATATCTCCAAGACGGAGCGTGCACACATACAAACTGTCTACTCAGTGAAAGGAGGTGGGCATCCAGCTGATGCTGGCGCTTTGAAACAGCCATTCCACTTAGTCCCACTCCATCCTCAACATTTTCCTCCATCAGGTATTTAAAAATGACTGTCGAATTTCCTTCTGCCGCCCTTCCAAGCAGGGCATTCCAAATTGCAACATTCCAGTCCTCCCACACTACATTCTCCTTCTCTCCTCCTGTACTCCATCTCCCCGGTTCTCTTGCCTTTAGTGGGTCACCCATAGAGGATGTTTATTGTCCGACTCCGGTTCCTGGATGTCTGCATGTCAAAGTTCGCCTGATTTGATGTGTAGCTGGGAACATACAAGTCAGTCACAGCGTGCTACAGAGACTGAGCCCCAATAATCCCCAAAAACTGACCCTTGTTGCACCAAAACCCATGATGGGGTGTCACAGTGGCTCAGTGGCTAGCAATGCTGCCTCACAGCACCAGGGACCCAGGTTTGATTCAATCCTTGGGTGACTGCCTGTGTCGAGTTTGCACGTTCTCCCCATGTCTGAGTGGGTTTCCTCCAGGTGCTCTCCCACAGTCCAAAGATATGCAGGTTAGATGGATTGGCCATGGGAAATGAGGGTTATAGGGTAGGTTAAAGGGGTGGGTCTAGGTAGGGTGCTCTTCAGAGGGTAAATGCAGACTTGAGTCAAATGGCCTGCTTCCACACTGTACGGATTCTAGGATTGGAAACAAAACAGACAGAAAAAAAAAAATCAGTGTCACTTACCCATAACCTCCAAATGGACGTGAATGAAGCTATCCACCTCATCCTGCATTGTGCTGGTCGATTTCAGTGGCACCTGCAGGAACCCATACTGCTCTTTATTACAGATATACATCTGCACCTCTGAAACAGAAAGCAAAGCATTTGCATCATTGCAGCTACGTCTATCCTAAAAACTACACTGGTTGGTATTATACACTTGGGTAGTATAAAATATGCACAGATGGTCAGCGTAGATTGTCACTTTGGTGATTTAAGATGCGACAATGTGTTACAAAAACAGCGCTTTGCATTTATATAGCCTTTCATGATCTCAGGCAGTTCCAAAGAACATCGTAGTCAATAAAGTTCTTCAAAAGTCTCAGCACCTGAAGGAAACAGTAGCCATTTTGCGAACAGCAAGCTTTCATGTTCTATCCCAGGAAGCTGAGGGTTGGAGTATGGGTTCAAATAAAAACTCCAAACCAGCCAGTCACCAACTTTTGCAAGGCAAGGATAGGAAGGATATGGAGAACGGAAGGCAAAGGGAAGTCAAGACAGAAACACAGGAAGAGTGTTTGGCCCTTCAAGTCTGCTGCACTATTTGATAAGATCAAGGCTGAGCAATTTGTGGTCTCAACTCCACTTTCCTCCTTGTTCTCTATCCCGCTTATCTATCAAAAATCTATCAAACTCAGCACTGAATTAATTCAAAGATCCATGCTCCACTGCCTCTCTGGGGGAAAGGAATTTCAGAGGCTAATCTACTTGGGGAGAAATCCCTATTTCTGTATTAAAAGGGAGATTTCTAAGAGGCAGCCATGAGGATGGTTTCCCTCTCAGAGCGACTGTAGAATTCTCTTGCCCAGAAAAACATGAAGGTACATATCAACCATGAATGAATTGAATGACAAGACAGGCCAAGTGTACTGAACAGTCTTGCCCTGTTCCAGTGTCAGTCTAAAACACAAGCTCAAAGGCATGTCCAGCAACTCAATGTCCACATATGGTCTCTTTACTGTTTAAGAACAGGCCTTTGACTCAGACATTATGCAGCTCAAAGGCAATAGTCACCTCCTTCTCCAAAAGGAACATAAAAGACTTATATTCCCTTGTGTATAGAGAGTTTATGCATATTTACTCTACAAGGCCACAGCTGGAATACTGTTTTTTTAAAATCATTCATGGGATCTGGACATCATTGGTTAGGTCAGCACTACTGCCCATCCCTAACTGCCCAGAAGACATTTGAGAGCTAACATTGCTGTGGGTTTGGAGTCACATGTAGGCCAGGCCAGGTGAGGATGGCAGATTTCCATCTCTAAAAAAGAAAGAGCCAGATGAGTGTTTGTATCAATTGACGGTGATTACGTGGACATCATTAGGTTAGCTATCAATTCCAGATTTTTTTTTTGGTTGAATTCAAATTTCACCATCTGTGGCGGGATTTAACCCAATGTCACCAGAATATTTTGGATTCTGGATTACTAATCGAGTGACATTACCACTACACCACTGTCTCCCATTAATTATAAACAGTTTTGGTCCCCTTAGTGAGGGAAGATATATTGACCTTGGAGGCAGTCCAGGAAATGGTCAACTAAGTTGATTGGCTCAGAAGAGGTTGAGCCTGAACTCACTAGAGTTTTAGAGGAATGTGAGGTGACCTTATTGAAACGTACAAGATTCTTAGCAGATTTGACAGGATAGACGCAGAGAGTTTTTTTCCCCCGTATGTTGTGAGACAGTCTAAGACCAGAAGAGAATCCTTTTTTCAATTACCCATGGTATGTGGGCCATGTTGACTGGCCCAGTATTTATTGCCCATCCTCAGCTGCCCTTGAGAACATGGTAGTGAGCTGTCTTCCTGAACCGCTAGAGTCCATGTGATATAGGTAGATCCTCAATGCCATAAAAGGTGGGAATTCCAGGATTTTGACTCAGTAACAGTGATATATTTCCACGTCAAGAGGGGGAGTGGCTTAGAGGGGAGCCTGAAATGCTTAACGTGCAGGTTCAGTTAAGAGAATTCTGAACTCGGACTCCCAAGTTCCTTTGGGCTCCCATGTATCTGCTGCCTTTGTCCTTCTAAATAGAAATGGTCATGGTCTTGGAAGGTGCTGTCTGTGAGGCTCATTGATGAATTTCTATGGTCCATCTTGGTGGTACACAATGCTGCTGAACAGGGGGAATGGAGGCTTGTGGATGAGATGCAGGCTGCTTTGTCCTGGATGGCGTCAAGCTTCTTCAGTGTTGCTGGAGCTGCACTCATCCAGGCAAGTGGGGAGTATTCCATCACACTCCTGACTTGTGTTTTGTGGATGGTGGACATGCTCTGGGGAGTCAGGAGGTGAGTTATTTGCTGCAGTATTCCTAGTCTCTGACCCACTCTTGTAGCCACTGTATTTATATGGCGAGTCCAGTTGAGTTTCTGGTCAATGGCAACCGACAGGATGTTGACAGTTGGGTTATCAGTTAAGGTAACATTGTTAAACGTCAAGTGGCAGTGGTTATATTGACCCTTATTGGTGATGGTCATAGCCTGGCATGTGTGGGGCACAAATGTTACTTATCACTCGTCAGCCCGAGCACGGATATTGTCCAGGTTTTGTTACATTTGAACATGGACTGCGTCAATATCCGAGGACTTGTGAATGGTGCTAAACATCGTGCAATCATTGGCAAACATCCCCATTCTGACCTTATAGTGGAGGGAGAGGTCATTGATGAAGCAACTGAAGATGGTTGGGCCTCGGACACTACCCTGAGAAACTCCTGCAGAGATGTCCTGGAGCTGACCTGACTGACCTCCAACACCCATAACCATTTTTCCACGTGCAGATATGACTCCGATCAACAGAGAGCTACCCTCTGATTCCTATTGATTCCTGCTTTGCTAAGGCTCTTCGCTGACACGGTCAAATGTGGCCTTGATGTCAAGGGCCGTCACTCTCACCTCAACATCTCAGGAGTAAGGGGTCATTTAAGACAGAGATAGGGAAGAAGATTTTTTTCTTCTCAGTTTGCAGTGAATCTGAGGAATCATTTACCACAGTTGGCTACACAGGCTGGTAATGACTGAGATAGGCAGACTTTTAATCAGTATAGGAATCAATGCTTGTGGGAATAAGACAGGACAATGGAGTTGAAGATTATATCAGCCATGATAAATTGAATGATAGAAAAGACTTGATGGGCTGAACTGCCTACTTCTGCTCCTATGTCTTATGGTCTTAACAAAGGAGATCAAAGAATATTAAAGGATTTGATAGAGTAGATGGAGAAACAGCTAAGAATTAAGCCATAACGTTAACCCGGGCTCAAATGCTACATCTCTCCACAGCACTATGCACTCAGACATGTCCCCCACAGACTACATTTTGTCACTCACCTGCTTGTCGACATGAGAAAGCAAAGACAATGATGTCGTCGAATGACCACGTGTAGTCTGGGTGTGGAGGGTAAAATGCCAGTTGCTTGGAGGCCTCTTTACGAAGGTCGATCAGCATCGTGGAGTGGACCATGACGACTGGGAAGCAGCCCAGCCGGTCCCGTTTCCGTACGGGCACGTAGGCCGGGGTCCGTTTGTAATAACCCTTCCAAGCGAAGGAACTCATTAGTATACAACACAGCTTCCAACAGCAGCACTGACATACAGAAGATATCAGTCGTGTCCCAGGGGATAATCCAGGCTTGGAGCCACGGCGACCCAGACCGGGGTATGGCAACGCCGGGGCTGGGGCTGGGGCACGGCAACACAGTGGCAATGGGCCGATCTGGGGTCAGACAGCAGAGAGTGTCACCCCCAGAAGAACATGCTTAAAGATTTCTTACTATGATGCATTGAAACACCATCCGGATGTGGAATACAGTGCTGACTCACTGAGACGACTCAACCAGGACATGGGAGCAAATCCTCTCCAAGATCATCTGAGCTCAGGCTCATTACCAAACAACTTATATTCACACTGCAGGGGATATCACAGTAAACACCTGAGATAAGGAGGATGAGACAGCGAGGAATACAATTTCAAGGAATTTTGATTAGAGTAATTAGTGAGAAAGCATTGCCATTGATGGGAACACAGATTTAAGGAATATTAGCAAAATAACCAGAGGTGAGATGTAGAATGAAAGTTTAACGAGTGAAATAAAATGAACTGGATTGTATTACCTTAAACAGTTTGATTAGTAACTTTTAAAAGTGACTTGGGCATATTATTTACAGGGGAATCATTTACAGTTATGGGGAGAGAATAGAGGAGTGGGACTAATTGGTCAGTTCCTTAAAGAACAGAAACAGGCACAATTGGCCAAATTATCTGTTTTGGTGCAGAAACATTTTAAAATGGAAAATGGGACAGAACTGACCCAGGGAAACATTGAGAATGGTTTTACTGATGGGTTTGAATTTAGAAGGCACAGCCATTAGTGGAAAAGTTGGAAAGAGAGAGATCGATCTCATGGCAGACACAGACTTGGGCACCAACTGAAGGGCAAAGGAAAAGGAGTTGAGACGAAGGCGGAGGCTCTCCAAGGGGTTGAGATTAGTCAAGGTCGTCACAGGTGAGAAAGTTAAGAAACACACAAAAATGGAAGTTGAACAAGAAAGTTAAATTATTCTAGACCTACCTCGGCAGTCATTCCACACCAGAAATTGGAATATGCAGAGCGCGAGTCCAACATGGGAGCCACAACTGTTTTGTTCTCTGCTATGAGGAGGTTTAAGGTGTCAGGGTTGATCAGGAAGTTGTCTGCATCAATAAACTGAGAAGGAGAAGGAGAAGAGCATTGGAGTGTAGCAACTCCAGAAATCAGATTGCCAGCAAGAGAGATGGTACACACACACACACTCACAGTGTTCAGGTTAGGCAAGCTCTCGACACAGGCTGTTGAATACTTAAAAGAAAATCCTCAAAGCATGACTTATTGCCCTGTAACTAGGCGTCTGAAAATGAAGAATTGAAATGTTGCCAATTGTATAAAAGTGCAATGACATGGTGTCAAGTAGAAACACAAGGAGGTCATTCAAACCTCTCAAAACCATCCTACCACTCATATCGATCTGGTGTCCAAACTCAATTTGTTGACCTCAACTCCAGAATCGTTAATTCCCTTGTCTAATAAAAGTCTATCACTCGCAGTGCTGAAATTTTCAATTGATCTATAGCCTGCTCAGTGGGAGAGGTTATTCCAGATTTCCATTATTGTGTACGAGTAAGTGCTTCGTGACATCACCCCCGAACAGCATGGCTCTAAATTTAAGATGATGTTTTAGCTTTCTGGACACCTCCCAATCAGAAGAAAGAGTTTCTCTTCCTCTAAACTGTGGGATGGAGAGATGTACTTTGATCCAGACTGATTATTTCCTTGGAACTGCTCCCAGAGGTGCAGGAGAAACCTCGTTTATGCCTGTAAGCTGTCATACTCCCAGGCTCAGACTTCACAGATTCTGGGCAACAGCTGCAGACCCAGCTAGATCATGATTCTCCAGCCACATCCCTCAGAGGGCCATTCTAATCCACCTCCACCCAACTTTAAAGGAACAGTACACCTCTATAAAAATCAGGAGGGCTATTAATGACCTCACAAACATTTGTACACCCAACCAGACAGCGAGCTAATTCTTTTAACCCAACACTGAATCAACTAGCAGTGGCTATTGGCCCAATTATCTGGTGCTTCCCTTTCATGCCGAGGGGAACACTGTATGTAGTTTTGAATTGCTATCTTTTAGACTGTTAATTGCACACTTGAAATAAAAATCCCACATTGAAGTAGAAGTTAAAAGACATAGTGCCTTTAAGGATACCATGTTGTATAAGAATAAGCAAGTATTGACCTGTAGGTCTCCATGTCACTGGGATTTACCTTGGATCACCTCTGCATCTAGCAGAGAGAATAAACCTGCATTTCTGTCGTACCTTTTATGACTTCAGGACATTCAAAAGCATTTGCCACCAATGAGGTACTAAGTGCAATCATTGCTGTAACGTAGGAGACATGTAGCCAACATGTTTACAGCAAGCTCCCAATATAGCAATATGATCAGAATGACTAGATGGTCTGTTTTAATGATATTGGTGGAGGGATAAATACTGGCCACTGAGTGGCATCACCTCAGTAAATACTGGACAGTGACTGGAGTGGACCAAGAGCCCTTGACCCTCTGCCTTGGAGGGAGAGCACTACCCACCGAGTTTTGACTGACGCTTCGTTTTGAGGCCCAGAACAAATTCCATTTTGCTCAAACTAGACCATCACTTGTATTCATTCCAGCCAATCACATGCTCCTTGACATGCAGGAAGAGTAAACAGAATGCCCACTCAAAATCGCCGGCCTTACCAAAACATAATCAGCCCATCGATCCCTGGCTGCATTCAGTGCTGCTTGCCTCAGCTTCATCACATGCTCATAGCGAGAGTCAGACCAATGCTTAGGCCCCATTTCATCAAAGTAGGATCTGAAACCGGACATTGCAAAGCACACACAGGACATTAGTACCCAGCACCATACCAAGAAGAGCAGTTAATTGATTCCTGTCTGCGCTGCCTATTCATCTCTGCTACTCTGGCCACTCAATACTTCCGTGCAGTCCACTCCCTTTCCTGAACATTCTTCTCAACATGTCAACTTCACTCAGGAAGTCATAACAGGCTATCAGGCAGTCTATTGAGAAGATATTTAGAGAAAAACTGAGGTCCCTCAATATAATGAGCTTTTGCAATTCTCTCACCCACCTCCTCCATTTCCATTTCTCCTGGTGTTACAGGCTTGCCACTTAGGAGGCCATCAGCAGCAATACCACAGAAAAGCCAACCCCAAGATGCTGTGAAAGTCAGAACTCGGACTTGGCAAAGTACCTGTAGTTCTTTCGTTGTCTCTGGAATTCCTTGACCTAATCACATCATGGGAGCCCCAATGAGTGCAAACATTCAACAAGGCAGCGAAGTGGGAAGGGCAAAAGAGGTGGAAATGAATGCTGCCTAGACAGCATTGACCACAAATTTTTAAAAAAATACTGAAGCACAAAGACATTGGTCTATACAATAACTTGCACCACAACAACAGCATCACATGCTCGATTGCACTCTACATTGCTACAAACTGGGGTTCCTCATTAACTCATCCTTTGGTGAAGGCAACAGGGGGAAGAAAAATCGTCATCACTAAAATAGCCTACACTGATTACACATCTCCACACCTCAACAAGTCTGATCTTTCCCTGCTAAGTTCTGTGGCCTCCCATTTTAATTATTAACATCTCAGTGCAGTGGGGTTTGCCTTACGAATTGAGTAGCCGGCACCCAAACAATTCAAAGGGGAAACAGTGGCATTGAAGCAATGTCACTCAATCAGTAATCCAGCATGCCAGGTTAATGTTTTGGGGATATAGGTTCAAAGCCCGCCATGACTGATGGCGAAATTTGAATTCAATAAAAATCTGGAAATGAAACTAGCTTAATGACAGCATTGCAACTAACTCAACGACTGCTGCAAAAACCCATCTGGTTCACCAACATCCGTTCGGAAAGAAAATCTGCCGCCCTTACCTGGTCTGGCCTACACATAACTCCAGACTCTCAGCAATGTGGCTGACTCTTAAGGGATCTCCAGATAATTAGAGACTGACAATAAATGCTGACATCCCATTTTTTAAAAAAAAAATCCCTTGAGATGACACAATCTAACATACAACTAGAAGCAACCACAATGCAAACCTGCCAGACTCACGAACACCACTGAATGTGGTGAGTTGGTACCACTGAACAGTAGCTGCCATGAAGAATAGGGGCTGCTTGGCACTGTGAAGAACCTACTTCCTGATCAAGTGAGGGGAATCTCTTCGTGCAGTTGCTACTCGATGGTACAAGAAATTACTCAACCCGGCTCTCTGTGGCTCTGTTATGGACCAGACCAAACCCCTCAAAATATATTAAGATATACTTAACCTTTAGTTAAGGTCTAGACTAAGGTGTTGCATTCCAGATGCACTTCAATTGGTCAAACTAAAGTCTAGAAGCAAAAGACTTTATTCATACACTATAGTTATAATAAAACAGAACAAAGAAGAAATTGGAATAACTTAACTGTACTGGAAAGCTTAACAGAACAATACATTATTTTACAACTAAACAGTAATTGTTCCAATATACTAACATCCCATAAGCACATCCTTTGGTACAAGACAAATTCAGTAAAACAGACTGTCTCACATGCAATTCTAGCAGCAGGAAGAGAACCCCCATCTTTTAGCTGTAACAGAAAGAGGAAAAACAGCTTCCACATCCAGCTTCAAGATCCCAGCAACTGCTGCTGAAAGCTAAAACTAAAACTAAAAAAATCCTGGTTGCGGGAGCTTGACCCCACCCATTCAGGCTGCTTCTATTGTTTCAACTTTAATAAAAAACCTAAGGCCTCACAAACTGTTTACTTTATTGGTTTCAGCAAACTGCTCTGTACCTCTGTCCCAACCTTTCTTCATAAAAACAATCAGGACAAAATAACCTTTTGAATCCATACTATTGTCACACTCATATCAGAGTCAAAAAGCTCTCACTGGTCAGCTACTCAATGTCCACACTAGAGATAGTCACTTGGTTAATGTCTGATGAAAATGGGGCTGTTATCCCATTGAGAATGACATGACTGAACTGCTACTCATGGAAAGAAACTGCTTGAAGCTAATGGGTTAATATGTCCTGGGCTGTAGTCAGCATCTGCACTCACTTGGGCTCATCCATAGGTCTCCATTCAACAGAATGGTACAGTCCCTGTACGTTCACCAGCCATTCCCTTAGTATCGCCGTGGTGTTATCCACATTGTGGTCTGTCGCTACCCTATAGAAAAGAAAGAACACAAATGTAATCAACCTCATCATCTGCGTACGGAGTCTTCGCCAAAAAGTGAAAAATGATTCTCTTTCCATTTAACGGAAAATGTCCCTTTACACATCCCCAGGATATTACAGCAATACACCGCCACGCCACACAAACAGCAATGAGACAAATGATCAGGTGATGTGTTTCGGTGTTGTAGAATCAATGTTCATTAAGACACTGAGGACACAGCTTGTGGGATCATTTGTATCTAACCTAAATGATCAGATTGCACCTCAGTTTAATGCTTCATCTGAATGATAGCATCTCTGATATTGGAGGGCTCCTTTGGGACTGCACTGAGAGTCAAGTTGGCTTGTGTGCTAAGCTTATAAAGTAGCACTATACCTTTCAAGGGACACAGGTGTTACCAGTTGTCCCAGGGCTGAAAAGAATACATTTTGAATTGAGTAACTGTTAAGCAAGTTCTGGTTTCTGACTGAACAATGCACATAATCCGATGATCTTCCGAGGATCTTCATGCAAGAGGTACTGTATAATCGAACCTCATCAAGTGATGGATACAGTACTCGGAGCAGCATGTGGGCCCTTCCAGGATGAGCTGGGCTTCCCTGAAATATATGCCATATCATGGCTACAGGAGCAAAAAAGTAGTAATAGAAGATGCCACGATGAAACAGCAAGTAACTGCGTCAACAACTGTCCTTCCCTCACCCAACCCCAATGAGATGGCTTTTCAGCTCCATGATAAAAAATTCTGCTACATGACTGTACAAATTGCACATTTTTGTTTAAAGTCACTCTGAAGACACAGGTGTTGCTGTCAAAGCTAGCATTTCTTTCTCACCCCTAGTCACACAAGAACATCGTGGTGAACCATCCTCTTGATTCGTTGCAGTCCCTGTGGTGAAGATGCTGCTAGGCAGGCAGTTACAGAATTGTGAATCAGTGGCAAAAAAGGATTGCAGATCTATGATTAATGTGGGTTGCCACGTGATTTCAAAGGGAGTTCAGAGGTGGAAAAATCACTAAGCATTTTTCTTTTTATTCCTGGGCTAGTAACATAATTTATTGGCTATCCCTAATTGCCCTGGAGAAAATGAAGATGAACTGCCTTCCCTGAACTGTTGCAGGCATTGGGATGAAGACTCACTCACAGTGTTGTTTAGGATGGAGTCCCAGGATTTTGACCTGATCACAGCAAAGCAAAGGTGATGCAGTTCCAAGTTGGCGAGTTGGAAGGGAACTTGTAGGCATCGGTGTGCCTATTTATCTACTGCCTTTGTCCCTCTAGGTGGTAGAGGTTGAGTTTGAAAGGTGCTATTGGAGGGGCCTTGGTGAGTTGTTGCAGTGCATCTTGTACATGGCACACAACTGCTGATACTGTGTATTCAGTAGTGGAGGGAATGAATGTTGAAGGATTGTAATAAAAACAAGAACCAAGGCACTTGAAAACACAAATGGATGGTATGTCAAGAGATTTTGGGTAATAAAAGGTGTCTTTTTTTTTTTTTAAACACAATCTCTAACTTCATTGGTCACTGCATTGAGTATAGGAGTTGGGGTGTAAGGTTGCGGCTGTGCAGGACATCAGCGAGACCAATTTTGGAATACTGTGTTCAATGCCAGTCTCCCTGCTCTTGAAAGGATGTTGTGAAACTTGCAGAAAAGATTTACAAGGATGTTGCTGGGATTGGAGGGTTTGACCTCTTGGGAGAGGCTAAAACAGGCTGGGGCTATTTCCCCTGGAGCGTCGGAGGCTTTGGAGTGACCTTAGAGAGGTTTATAAAATCATGAGGGGCACGGATAGGGTGAATAGCGGAGGTCTTTTTCCCCTGCTAGTAGAGGAGTCCAAAAGTAGAGGGCATGGTTTAAGGTGAGAGGGAAAAGATATAAAAAAAAAGAACTTGAGGAGCAACTTTTTCACACAGGGCATGGTGCATGTTATGAAATGAGCTGCCAAAGGTATTGGTGGAGGCGGGTACAAATAAAACATTTAAGAGGCATCTGGATGTACTTGAAAAAGGGTTTAGAGGGACATGGGCCAAATGCTGGCAAATGGGGACTAGATTAATTTAGGATATCTGGTTGGCGTGGACAAGCTGGACCGAAGAATCTGTTTCCGCACTTTACATCTCTATGACTCTAGCTGCACTATACAATGGAAGCCTTCGCCATATGATCAGAAGTTAATCCTAAACAACAGCCTACTCTGTCTAAGGCACACAGGCCTAGCAGGATAACAAGGGCTTCTTGTACCAGAGACAGCAAACCCTGTACAACATTGAAATTAAATTTAAAGGGCTGGAAAAACAAGGAGTTTGGCTGGAGAACTGTGCCCCTCCACTGCTCGGAATTCCTCACTGCTCTTAAGTTTGATTTGCGCAAACTTATTTGGAACATAGCACTTGCAAATCAGAAAACTGAAAACTAATATAAACAAATTTACATTTCTGTCCCAGTAATTTTTTCAAAATGTGAATGAGGAAAAGAATGTGTTTATTTTGTCACTGCCAACATTTTTATTATATGCTAATAGATACTGTTTTACAAACTTAACAAATTCCTTGAATAGATTATTGATTTTATCTGCAAGCAAATCATTAAACAGCATCCATAGATTCTGAATGAGGCCATTCATCCCATCAACCTGTGCCAGTTCTTTAGTAGGACTATCCAATTCGTCCCAAACCCTTACTCTTGCCTGCAGCCTGTCAAAAATGTTCCCTTCTCATCTACGCAATTCCTTTTCAAAATGTCAAGTCTGCTTCCCATCATGCTTTCAGGCAGCTTGTTCCAGATCATAATGCACTGCAGGAAGAAAATTCTCTTCTCATCTTACCTCTGGTTCTTTTCCCAATTACCTCAAATCTGATCAGTCCATTTCCATCGCCACTGCCAGAAGAAAATTTTCTCTTTATTCACTCTTTCAAAACCCTTCATGGATTTGTCACCTTTGGCAGCTACAGAGGAAGGTGCCATGGGGCTGTGGTGTGGTGGGGGGTTGCTGAGGGTGAAGGAAGAGTGGACCAGGGTGTCCCAGAAGGAACGGTCCCTGCAGGAGGCAGACAAGGGAGGGGAGGGGAACCAGACATACGTGTCTGGACCCTGCAGCCTTCTGGACTCAATTTCGGGTTCAATAATTTTAGGGCCTAAACTCTCCCATGTCCTAGCCCCCTATTCCACACATCAGGCCTGGTTATCACAGTCTGACATTACACACTACCTATTGTTTGTCACTAGGTAATTGTCCCCATTAACAGCTATTCACCCTCCTGGCTAGATCATTATCAACTCCTTTGTCTGTCCAACTGCTCCCCTCTCTCTCGGCTCTATCCCTATTTAGCATTTACTCCTTACCCCTTGCCCCCAACCTATCTTTTGCTTATAAAGCCACATTTTCCGAGCTACTATCAATTCTGAGGAAGGGTCACCAGACCCGAAATGTTAACTCTGATTTTTTTTTCTTCACAGATGCTGCCGGACCTGCTGAGCTTTTCCAGCAACTTCTGTTTTTGTTCTTGATTTACAGCATCCGCAGTTCTTTCGGTTTTGATCTGCAAGTTGCTGTCAGGGATGTTGCCCACACTGGGTGCAGTTCCAGTTGTCCCCAGTGAAAAATCCAAAGAATCATTGATTGGACACTAACCACTATTCCCCATGGAAACAACATTGAACAATCTTTGGCAACTGAGTTTTTAATAGCACATTAAATTGGAAATTCTGAATGACTCCTCCGGCCTGGAAAAAAAAGCTTACAAATGCAGAATCTCAAAACTTCTGAAGAACATTGCAGACATTGTATTAGTGTTTATATAATATTATCTAATTTTCTCCCTTAGTCTCCTGCACATATTCCAATCTTTACTATATTTAAGTCATAGTACAGAAAGCAAAATTTGTATATCCTGCATTTCTACTCGTGAGAATTCGTCTGCCCAATTGGCTGACCATTCTCAACGCATTTTGTCCAGATCTCCTGCGATGGGCACCAAATTGAAATTGATGTCTTGTAAGAAAAACTATTCTATTTTACTACCTGTTAAAACTGGTTGGTATCTTTGTTCAGGGTAAGTAGTAAAACCTATTCCAATGATACTAGCTGCAAAAGCTGGCCATTCGATTAATCTGCAGACTCCTCCTGCAGTCTGTCTTTAGAATCAATCCTTTTTTCTCCCCACAACAAATTTCAGGTTTGCAGCTCTAGTCACATCATCATAAAAAAGATACCAAGGCATGGTATCACAGAAGACTTGCAATACAAGAGACCACTGACTTTTTGTATCAGAGTGCTACCCAGCCTGAACCCACCTCCCTGGCTCTAAGTAGGAGCAGAAGATTAGCTCATTGATGCTAATGCCCTTTCAGGCATTGAGTTGCAGATCACTTCTGCCCTGGTCTCTCCTCTCATCCTTCTAACAGAGACTTTAAACCTACATCCCCTAGTTTTATCCCTCTGTTATAACAAATAAATCTCTATTTACTCTTTATAGGTTTCTCATAATTTAAGACATCTCCATTAAATCATCCTCTCAAACTCCTCAGTTCTAAGGGTAAGAACCTCAGTGGATCCCATTTTTCTGCACAGCCGAAATCTTCCGTTGTGCCAACATTTCTGTAAATCTCCTCTATATCCTGTCCAGTGCAATCACATTGATGCTGTCACGTGACCAGAACTGAATGCACTCCTCCAGCTGCAGTGAAAGTAATGCACACAGTTCTAGTATTGCCTTCCCACTCCCACAGGTTATGCCTCAGTTAAAGGATATCATGTCATATGCCTTCTAAATCAATTTACCCATTAGTTGTGGAAGAGCAGGGAGACAGGCCAGCTCTTGTTTCTGGGGTAACAAGATGTAGAGCTGGATGAACAGAGCAGGCCAAGCAGCAGAGGAGCAGGAAACCTGACGTTTCGGGCCTAGACCCTTCTTCATAAAAGGGGGTTTGTGGGGAGAAAGAGTTCCCTTAAAATTTGCCAAAACCAACCTCGCAGTAAACAT